TCGCCGCCATGCTGACTGCGCCACTGGGACCTTAGGTGGGGCTCCCCATGGGACTACGAAACGTGTGAGGGGTGTGCCAGAATTGGGCGGCGCCGCCATGCGGTCTGCTCCACTGGGACATTGGGTGGAGCTCCCTATGGAGCCACGCAGCCTGTGAGGGTGTGCCAAAATCGGTCGGCGCCGCCATGCGAACTGCGCCACTGGGACCTTAGGTGGAGCTCCCTATGGGGCTACGAAACGTGTGAGGGGTGTGCCAAAATTTGGCGGCGCCGCCTGCCCCACTTGGACCTGAGGTGGAGCTCATTATGAGGCCACGAAACGTGTGAGAAGCGTGCCCGCCTATGGCGGCGCCGCCATGCGGACTGCGCCACTGGGACCTGAGGCGGAGTTCCCTATGGTACCGCGAAGCGTGTTATAGGTGTTCCAAAATTGGGCGTCGCCGCCATGCGGACTGCGCCAGTGGGACCTTAGGTGGAGTTCCCTATGGTACCGCGAAACGTGTGATGGGTGTGCCAAAAAAATTGTGCGGCGCCGCCATGCAGACTGCGCCACTGAACTGGGACATTGGGTGGAGCTCCCTATGGTACCGCGAAACGTGTGAGGGGTGTGCCAAAATGGGGCGGCGCCGCCATGCGGTCTGCGCCATTGGGACATTGGGTGGAGCTCCCTATGGGGCCACGAAACGTGTGAGTGGTGTGCCAAAATTGGTCGGCGCCGCCATGCGGTCTGCGCCACTGGGACATTGGGTGGAGCTCCCTATGGGGCCACGAAACGTGTGAGGGGTGTGTCAAAGTGGGTCGGCGCCGCCATGCGTACTGCGCCACTGGGACATTGGGTGGAGCTCCCCACGGGGCCACGAAACCTGTGAGGGGTGTCACGAGGAAGACGATGACGATGATGATAATGATGACGATGATGTTGATGAGAACGGCCATGATGATGATGATGCTGATGATGATGATGATGACGATGACGGCCATGATGTTGATGATGATGGTGACGGTGATGATGATGACGATGTTGATGATGATGATGTTGATGATGATGGTGATGATGATGAACTTGATGATGATGATGATGGTGATGATGATGATAATTCTGACGACGATCGCGATGACGATAGCGATAATGATGATGATGGTGATGATGATTATTGTTGTTGATGATGATGATGGTGGTGGTGGTGGTGATGATGGTGGTGGTGGTGATGATGGTGATGATGATGATGATGATGATGATGATGGCTGATGATGAGGAGGAGGAGGAGGAGGAGGAGGAGGAGGGAGGGAGGGAGGGAGGGAGGGAGGGAGGAGTGGGAGGAGGAGGAGGAGGAGAAGGAGGAGGAGAAGGAGGAGAAGGAGGAGGAGGAGGAGGAGCGGCAGGAGGAGTGAGAACGCGGGGCGCTGTCTCTTCAAGACGAGGACCCAACACCGCAGGATGGTCGGGAAAAACATAGGGGGGAACGCATCGACCCCCAATCCCCCGTTTGTCGCCGACCGGGGCCTGATAGCCTACCCCGCCCAGGAACGCGCGGGCTCGCTATCGGGGGCATGTCGGCGATGTGTCACCGGTTCAAGGTCGATGGCTCCCCCATGAGCCAGTCCCCCCGATCGTCGGTCTTCACAGGGAACCGCTCACTCCGCCGCCGTCCTCCCTTTGCTGTCCTCCTTTTCCTCCTCCTGTTCCTCCTCTTCCTCCTCGTCCTCCTCCTCCGTCCCTTCCTCCTACTCCTCCTCCTCCTCCTCCTCCTCCTCCTCCTCCTCCTCCTCCTCCTCATCATCATCATCGTCCTTTTCCTTTTCCTTTTTCTCCTCCTCCTCCTCGATTGTTTTTGCACCCAGGGCTAAGGCTCCAGGCCGAGGATGCGGGAGGGGGTCGTCTGGTCGTGGGAGTGGGAGTCGTGGGGAGGGAAGGGCGCCCCGTGCCGAGAGTTGGGCCCCCTGAGCGGCTGCGTGCCGCAAACACGGGCCCCAGCTTGGCCTGTGCCGCTCCAGCGGAGCGCAGCAGATCAAATCCCACCAGCCCTCTGGGCGCAGGTGGTCTAGAGCGTGTCCTTGTCCAGCCTCCTTCTTTTCCCTGCTCGGGAGGTTTACCTCCCCCCCTCCCTCTCTGGGTCTGGAGAGGCTCCCCCGCGCAGGGTTAGAGCGTCCAAGATGGCCCAAGGTAGCTTCAAGAGGGCTTTAGCTAGCTCAAGGTGGCCTCCAAGATCGCCCAAGATACTTCAAGACGGCTCAAGATAGCCTCCAACACGCGTCCAAGAGGCCTCAAGACGGCCCCAAGACGGTTTCAAGTGCCCTCCGAGCCCTCCAGGGACCCCCCCAATAGGCCAACATGGGCTCAAAATCCAAGGACAAGCATCGTGTGTTGCCGTTTCCCTGTTTCGTTTCCGATGGGCTCTTGAGGCGTCAAGATGGCCCCAAGATGGCCCAACATAGCCCCAGGAGAGGCCCACGAGGGCCCCAAGGCGGCCCCAAGAGTGCCCAAGAGCGCCCCAAGAACGGTTCAGGAGGGCCCCAAGACGCCCCTTTTGGGCCTCCGAGGGGGAGGGGGGGGTGAAGGGGGGGCGCGAAGTTAAGACCTCCTTCTTTTTGAGCGAAGGGGTCCAAGACGGCCCCACGAGGCTTCCCAGACCCCCCAAAAGAGCTTCAAGAGGGCCCCAAGACCCTTCAAAACAGCCCCAAGGAGGTCACAAGAAGGCCCCCTGAGGAAGGACCCCAAGATGGCGCCCAAGTGGCACAACTAGTCTTCGAAGAACCCTTCACCACGATATATGCCCAAAGCCCGACATCTCGTCCTTCTTGTTATCGTCCGTTCTGTCCTCGCTTCTTTCCTGCCGCCTCCTTGCTCCTCTCCTCTTCGCCCTCCTCGCGCCGCGTTCCTCCTGCTCCTCCTCCTCCTCCTCCTCCGTCCCTTCCTCCTTTTCTGTTCCTCCTCCTCCTCCTCCTCCTCCTCCTCCTCCTCCTACCCCCAAGATGGCCCCAGGCATCACCAGCACCATCAGCACCACTTGCTGCAAGATGGCTCCGAGATGGCAACAGAGCACCACCAGCAGCAACAACAGCAGCATCACCGCCACCACCACCACAACCATCACCATCACCAGCAGCCGCACGCGAGTTTTTCAAGTTAAACTTCAGTGCGGGGGCAGAGATCAAGGATGCATATGGGGGATGCGACTCTCATCTGTGCGACAAGGGCTACGAATGATAGATACAGTCACGTGCGTCAGAGACGCTTACCACAGGGAACACTCTGGCGTATCTTGCACTGGTTTCCATCTTCAATTTCGTTGCGGGAAGCTATGTGTGATCTTTGCTTCTCATGGCCCAGGGCGGATACAGCCACCTGCGATAGAGACGTTTACCACGGGGAGCACCACGTCGTATTTTGCACCGATTGCATGCTTAAGCTTTAATGCGAGAAGCGAATTGTGATCCCTGCTTTGTTGTTTTGAAGACGGCCGCGCAACTGCATTCTTCCAGCCGTCCCTGATTTACCAACTCCCCTGCTGATCGTTTCTGGATGGGCTGGTGGGGATACTTTTTTTTTACGGCCGCAGGCGGAAGCGCACAGCGGCGAGCAGTCACGGTCGGGCCGCGGCCGTGGCTAAATTCCCGAGCGCGCGCGAAGCTGCGGCTCCGGCGGCGGGAGCGGCAACCCAGGGTGTCTGAGGGGCCAGCGTCCTGCAATCCCAGGGAGTCTGAAGGGTCAGGCGCCTGAGACAAACATGCAACCGCATCCCAGGGAGTCTGAGAGAACAACCCTGAGGCGAGCCAAGCGCAGCCAAAAGGGCGCGGGGTCGTCCCGACGCGTCCGAGTAAAGAAGACCGCGTGGTAGGGACTATCACCGTGCAGGAAGGTCGCCCAAGGAACCTGACGGGTATGATCAGGTAGTACTGGTGACGTCGTCCAGCAGGAGGAGCTCCGACGGCGCCAGCGAACCGTCGCAACGCCAGAAAACGCACCCACGCAAGCCTAGGTCAGAGCCAGAGAGGACCCAACCACGGCGGAGCGATGCGCCTGCGTACAGAAACCAGCAGACTGGTCAGGACGCAACGGGTACACGTAAGCACGGCGAGAACGCAACACGTGGTGACGTGTACCGAACAACTATGTGACGTAGCGCCAGGCGGCTATCACAAACGCGTGTGTGCGCTCGATGGACGCAACCGTCGTATACCCAAGACGGCAAAACCATCACAGTCACAGAGTCCCAGGGAGTGCCGCACAACTGAATGTGCGGGAGAGCAACGAGAAGAGCCGAACCTCCATACTCCGAAACCGAGCAGCACGAGGTAGACGCTTGTCGACGGTGGCCTGATCGAAGACCGTCGGTCCAGCCAAAAGGCAGCCAGCCAGGGGTGCCTCCCGCCCTTGGCGTAGCACACCGCGGCGGTGAGCCGTCCGACCGTATCACGCTGCTCCCAGGAAAGAAAAGAGACGGCTGAAGGCCGTTGTAACTTTGGAAGTCCTAAGGAGAGAGCGCAGACCGAGGGCGAGGCGGAAACCGTCAGGTCCCCACCCACGAAGCCTGCGCGCCAGGCAGGCCTGGCAGTGAAAACAGCTACAGTAAGGCCCGAGGCCACAATGGCCACACGCAACACGAGGAGGCGGTGTAGCCGGTATTGCTGGCACACGTACTTGGGTCCAAAGGCAGGAAGTGCGTGTGCCAGGGGGGGGCGGCGGAATGCCGCAAGCGGGTCCGAAGACCAAAGCACGGCTGAAGGCCGTCGTCTGATAGAGAATCCCAGGGTAGAGGTACGCTCAGGTGTGAAACGTCAAACGTCAAGATTTATCGTTTCTGTAGGGTTCGTAGTTACCCATCTCGGATTCTTAACGTGATTTCGTGCTGCTGGCAATTGGTCAGCCGTCAGGTGTTCATTTCAGGAGTCCGCGAGCTTGTTCATTTTCATGTTTTTCCTCCTCCTCCTCTTCCTCCTCCTCTTCCCCCTCCTCCTCCTCCTCCTCCTCCTCCTCCTCCTCCTCCTCTTCCTCCTCCTCCTCCTCCTCTTCCGTCCGGAGCCGTTCCAGCCCAAGCCGTGCGGCCCACGCCCATCAGGAGGGCGCCAACTAAATGCCGAGCCTGGCCAGGCCGTGGGCCCAGGATCGTTGCATGCGCCCTCCTGGCTGGGCCAGGATTCCACATGCCCCCCCCCCGCTTCGCGCGCTGAAAGAAGGAACAAAAAGAGAGAGAGAGAGAGAGAGAAACAACAAAAAAAAAAACTGACGGGAGGTGTCTGGCCATGTTCGGCCTCTTGGGGCCCATGCCACGCTCCAGGGCCTTCCAAAAACGGCTCACGATGCTGTCCCGGGGAAGTGGTCTGGATCTTGGGGGTCCGCGCTGTGAAAAAACACGACGTCGCAAATTTGGCCCAGGACCGGTGCATGCGCCTTCTTGGCTCGACCCGTAGGGCAGATGCGGTCAGGAGCTTCTGCTCGGCGTGTCGCTCCGCTGGCTCTGGCCCGCCGAGCTTCGGCGCGACACGCCGAGCCCGTCTCCGCCTCCAGGCGTCGACGTCCCGAGCTCTTCTCAACCTCCCGCCCTGCGACGCGGAGCGACACGCTGTGTCAACTCGGAGGGCACACGGCGGGTCGCCCGGGCCGCCGCCGAGATCTCTCATCGGCAGTGCTGGCGGACGCAAGCGCGACGAGCGGTACTGGCGGGACGCGCCGGGCGCTGGGCGCGCGAGGGGCTGGAGAAGAAGGGAACGGCCGTGAAGCGCGAAAAGGGGGCAAGGCCCGACCGCCGAGAGCCGGCGGGCGAGAGAAAACGCAGGCGGCCTCGGGCACCCAGCGGAGTGCAGAGACCGCCGCCGAGGCACGCTCGGAGCCGGAGCTCCCCGCCCCACAGCGGCCCTGAGCCCGAGGTGCGGCCAGGACCGGTGCAGGCGTGCAGTTGGCGCCCTCCGGGCCCATGCCATCCGCGCCCGCGCCCCGCGAGGGAGGCGCGCCGTCAGCGGCCGCCTGGGGCCCCGCCGGCGGCGGGGCGAGATGAGCGACAAGGTCGGCTGCACGCAAGAGTGACCTTTCGCCAGAGTGGCCTCTCAGTGCGGGCCCACGGGGGTCCCGCCAGTACGTGGGCGGCAACCGACGGCCGCGCAGCAAAGGCCGCTCCTGCCCAGGGTCGCGCATGCGTGCAGCCGACAAGGGCCAGCCCGAGAAGCTCGCGAGGTTCGCCGACACCATGGACCGGCAGCCCGAGCCGATCACGTTCGCGGAGGCAGGTGCTGTCGATTCGGTCCGACCATGGTCTCGGCCAGTCGGATCCGACTCCGTTCCGGCATCTCGGCGGCCCGAGATCGCACGATGTTCGCACCGCGCTCTTTTGCATCTTGGGGCGGCCGCTTCCAATTGATGGCGACTCCGCGCCGATGCGGCCCGATTAGATGGCAGATCCGATCGGGCCCGATCTCTCGACTCGCAGCTGGCCGCTGCATGTGCGGAGGCGATGGTGCAGCTCCAGACCGCGCATTTCCGGGAGGTCGACTCCCTAAGGAGTCAGGGCCGTCAGGGGCAACGTTGGAGGGGGTGATAGGCTCTGAAGGGGAAGCATCGACCCCCAATCTCGAGGGACAAGAGGCAGCATAAACATCCATTTGCGGAGCTCCGCCCAGGTTTCTGGATCTGTGCTGGACCCCCTGGCGCCGCCAGGGGCCCCGCGCTGATCCAAGGCGTCCGCGCGGAGCGCCGAAAGGTGATGTCTATGCCAAGTTTTTGATCCTCTTGATGCATGGAAGGTCACGCCCGTGCGCCCGAAGGCGAGCCCATGAAGGGCGCAGGCGGTGGCAATCGGCAGCGTGCAATACACGCGCGCGCCACATCTAAGGAAAACAGTACGTGCGTCTAAAAAGGGGAGGACTCATTCACCTGGCCTGTCGTGGTGGTAGTGCGCCCGAGCGTGAAGCAGAGATTTAGGCAGCAGTGTCCGACAGCAGGGCGTCCACACAATGTCTGCCCCTCCTGATGCATCGACCCCAAATCGCCCATGTCATCGCCGGCAGTGGCCCGAGAGCCCGCCCCTCCCCGGAGCGTGCGGCTCTCATCGGGGGCCCGTCGTCGACACATCGGCGATGCGTCGCCGATGCCAGCTTGAAGCGTCTCCCCCTGAGCCGGCCTCCCCCTCACGCTCCTCTCCCTTCCGCAAGCAGTGGCGAAGCGTCCTGGCTCGCCTATAGGTCTACCAAAGAACGTTCTGCATCCCCAGGACGAAAATGCTTTCCTCTTGGGCCCGGAGCGACGGTGGGAAGTCTTGAGCAGACCCGTATGAGATAACCGCCGTTGGATCCCATGAAGTTCGCGCGGATCCGAATGTGGTTTTGGTGTTTGTTTCGGTGGATCCGATTTCCGTCCGTACGGATCCGATTTCGGATTCGCTGGATCCGTGTCCGGTCTCATTTTTCCCGGAAAGGGCTTAGGCCCAGGGTTCTCTTTTAGCTGTTTACCCCTGGGTCTGACTTGAGGTGGGCCGGCAGAATTATTCCCTGATGCATATCAAGGTCGAGGTGGGCCGGCGGAATTATTTTTGAGGATGTCCCTCGCGAAACGCTTGTTTTTCAGAATTTGTTGAGGATGTCTCGAGCGAAACGCTGGTTTTGCAGAGTTGGGGATGTCTCGAGCGACACGCTTGTTTTCAGAATTTGTTGAGGATGTCTCGAGCGAAACGCTGGTCTTGCAGAGCCGACCGCGACGCGGAAAAGCGCCCCGCGCGCAGGAATTCCAATGATGTTTCGCGCGTGCCGCGTCCCGCGCGCAGGAATTTCCAGGATGTTTCGACTAATTCGTTTGTTTGTTTTGTGATCCCTTTGAATTTTGGCAGGATGTCTCGAGCGAAATGCTTGTCTTTCATAATTGGTTGAGGATGTTTCGAGCGAAACGCTGGTTTTGCAAAATTGGGGGATGTCTCGAGCGGGGGCCTCGTGGGGGGCCAGAATTCAGAGGATGTCTCAGGCAAAATGTATGTTTTCACGTCCCGCTCGCAGGAATTCCGAGGATGTTTCGCGCGTGTCGCGTCCCGCGCGCAGGAATTTCGAGAATGTCTCGACTAATTCGTTTGTTTCGCCAGGATTTCCTTGGATTTTGACCGGATGTCTCGAGCGAAACGCTTGTCCCCAGCACGTTCCGTAGCGCGTCCCCTTGGCACGTTCCGCGGTGCGTCCCCATGGCACGTCCCTTGGCACGTCGCTTGGCGCGTCCCTTGAGACGTTCCGTGGCGCGTCCTCCTGGCATGTCCCCCTGTCAATTAGCTCTGGGGCAGCTACTCTGTGTTCAGGCAGCTCGAGCTTAAGATCCAGATCAGTTCGGTCAGGACTCGGGTGCAAAGGAGGACTCGATCCACGAGGCTATAGAGAACAATCGCGGCATGGCGCATCGCAATTCAGCACGGCGCAGCACAGCACATGTTTCGGCACGGTACATCAATATCGATACACTCAGCATTGCAACTTGGCACGTTCCTTGGCACGTTCCATGGCGCGTCCCTTGGCGAGTCTCCCTGGCACGTCGCGTGGCGCGTCCCCTGGCACATCCCGTGGCACATCCATTGGCACGTTCCATAGCGCGTCCCCTTGGCAGTCCCGCGGTGCGACCCCATGGCATGTCCCTTGGCACGTCGCCTGGCGCATCCCTTGGGACGTTTCGCGGCGCGTCCTCCTGACATGCTCCCCTGTCCATCAGCTCTGGGGCAGCTACTATGTGTTCAGGCAGCTCGAGCTTAAGATCCAGATCAGTTCGGTCAGGACTCGGATGCAAAGGAGAACTCGATCCATGACGCTATAGAGCACATTCGCGGCATTGCACATCGCAATTCAGCACGGTGCAGCACAGCACAGCCCTCGGCAGGGTACATCAAGATCGATACACTCAGCAGTGCATGTGCCCGTTACCCAATCAGGTGTCTTTGAAAACGCTGCCACGAGTTACAGGTCTATATCCTTTGCCGGGTTCGTGGGTCGATCATGTTACGGCGGATCCGATTTCCACCCTGTTTAAAATTAATATGATTAGATTAAAACAAGGGACCAGAAGAAATCGGATCCGCGGACCCCGCAAACCGCCCGTGTTAAGATTCGATGGGGGGGGTCGGTCATCCATTTTCCACGATGGGCCTTGCGTCGTCTCGCGCACTCCCATCAACTCCCCGCGCGAGCGGGCCCCATTCATCATGAATACATCCCTCGCCCCCCGGTTGCTGCAAAGAGCTCGTCCGGTCGCCGTCCGTTCGGCGGCGCCGACGTTGTCTCGCGAACTCCTCATGGCCATTTTCACCTCAAGAGGAAGATCTTTCGTCTTGCGTAAATAAGAGCCTCTTGTGGTCTGCACGAATGTGTCTTGGAACATTTCTGGCTGGGACTGTTTTGTTTGAACACCTCCGATGTATGTTCTAAGAACATTGCTTTGGTTCTTAGAACATGTTGGGGTTCTAAGAGAATTTCGTGGTAGGCCTATAGGAATGCCTGGACGGTCGGTCCCTGCTCAACTTCCGAGGAAGGAGCTGCAGAAGATGAGCCGGCGGAACGCAAGGGTGTCCACGAAGCAGGCGCAGGTCGAGGAGGCGGCGGCCCGGGGCGCCGCCGACGTCCGGGGCTCGCAGGGCTCCCACCAGGTCGCGGTTCCCGGGGCGGTCGAGGAGGCGACGGCCCGGGGCGCCGCCGACGCCCTGGGCTCGCAGGGCTCCGACCAGGTCGCAGTTCCCGGGGCCACGGACTCCTTCCCGGCGTCCGAGTCGATCGGCCTCGCCGCTGGCCAGGATCGACGAGCAACGAAGCTGCAGAAACAGAAACATCCAGAGCTCCGCGCGGATTTCTTCGGTCGGCGCCAGGGCTGGGGCCCTCTGGCGGCGACTCCAGCGCCGCCCCTGGCGTGTTCCGCGCGGCAGGGAGGGGGGTCCAGAGCTGATTCAAGAACTTCGTGCGGAGCTCCGAAAGGTTATGTTTCTGCCGTTGTTCCTTCTTCTGGGGAGGCCGTCGAGGGCTGGAAGGGGAAGCAAGGCTCGAACAGGGAGCCCGAGATCGAGCTGGAGCGCGACTCGGTCGATTATTTCGACGACCCTTTCGTGGTCAGGGAGCGCAGCGTCACGAAGGACAGCGGTATCGTGTGGAACCCATTTGCAGACGGGCAGAACGAGGTGTCCAGGTTCATGAATAGGTTTTTCACCAGCGGGCACTCGCGGAAGAAGCGAAGAGCGTACAAGATTGTGAAAAGTTGGCCTTTCGAGTTTATATCATATTCCGCGATCGTTGCCAATTCGTTGTTCATTGGCATCAGCATGCAACTTCAAATGGATAGGGTACAAACCGGCTCACCGACGGAGAAGTGGCCAGAGGTCATAGAGGTGTTTTTTGCAGTATTCTTTACCTTCGAGCTGCTGTTCAAAGTGTTGGCGGAGGACGTGTACGTTTTCTTTGGCGGCGATTGGCACTGGAACGTATTGGACTTGATCTTGGTGTCCGCAGCTCTTCTGCAGCTAGTGATCGAGAGCATGTACGGCTCAGAAACCCCGAATTTGACAGTCAGCCGGACAATCAGGCTCTTCCGTGTCACGCGGGTCTTGCGTGTCGTCAAGGTCGTGCAGATTTGCCAGAGTTTGCGCGTAATGATCTTCTCAATATTTAAGTCTTTGGACGCGCTGGGTTGGGTCTTGGTGGTCCTAATGTTCTTCAAGTACATATTCGCGATGATCTTCATGCATGGCACCATATCGTACTTTGAGATGCACCTGCAAGGCGGAGGCATAGATCTCAGCCTTGAGGAGGAGCAGTTTTGGGACGATTCGGAGGCCCACATCGATTACATGAAGTGTAGCTGGAGCAGCGTCGACCGAGCGCTTCTGACACTCTTCGAGAGCATCACTGGCGGTCGGGATTGGGGGGAAGTGTTCATCTCCTTGGAGAAGATTGGCCCAGTGTACGGCATATGTTTTCTCGTCTACGTATCCAGCTGCCTGCGGCAAGTCCCGCAGCCGTGCCAGCCCCCTTTGAACGGAAGTCGAAGGTGAGCATCGCGAGCGAGCACCGTGCCCGTGTCCGCCCCCGCTTGGCTCAAGCGGCCGGCCACTCGCACTCGAGTAACGGAATACATCCTTCGATGCTGCACTTTGCGATCCAAACCCCTTATTTTTCTACTCCTTGCTATGGGCAAGCTGTGGGATACTCTCGTGCGCTTCTGGCGTAATGTATGGTGAGTCTTGCCGTGCCCATTTCGATTTGGTAGCAAGACTGGTGTCATCCTCATGTGGCTTGCTCTGTTTTGGCTGCCGGTATTCCACGGCACAGAATGGTGGCCTACTTCCATGGTGGTACATCCAACTGCGCCAGCTTCCCTTCGGGGATCAGGACCAGGAGCTGGCCCACACGTGAAGTCACAACGACCGACGACCACGCCCGCGTACGCATGTACGCCACGGCTCTCAGCCATTCTGCTCTTACCCACCATCAACCAAGTGGCAATTCATTCTCCAATTCCATATCCGCGAGTGGCAACCTACGAGCGCGACAGGGCGCAACAGATAAAAATGAGTCTTGTATCCATCCGAAAACTGATGGTCACGTCAGCCCACAAACATGATAATCTGACGGCCACATCAGCCCACAAACGCGACGATCACGACGGCACCAACACCTACATGACCACGCGCTACATCAAGATTATTGTTGTTTGGACTCATCTGCGTGTACTTTGGTGCAGCAGCAGGGTACATGCAGCAAGGAATGGACGACACGCGTACCAGGTGGCCCCAGTGGGACCGTGCGAATTCGTTCGCCGACACCCGCTTGCCAGGGGTGACAAGGCGTGTGGGACTTTTGGCTGCGCCCCTCCCCCTTCTCCCTTCCCCCAGGGTCCAGCATCGCACCCACGGGGCTTCCGGAGCCTTCAAATTGACACCCCATGGCCTCACAGATGCCCGAGATGCCATCTCAGCTGGCTCATGCTGGGCTCCAACACGCCGAGGAGAACTCAAAACAACGAAGGTGGCCGCGAGACTGCCTAATCACTTCCACAGCTCCAAACAGCAAAAGCGTCAATATCTGGAAGTTTGGGCTGTTGAATCCAACCGAACCCGCTTCCAGTCCGTCAAATTCGAATCGGGCTAAAACCGAGTCGGTACGTCCACCTCGGTCGACGCCAAAAGTCGACGAGGGTTGCTCTGGATGTAAATTGTCACTCGTCCTCGAGATTTTTAACTTTTGGTGCGGAGGAGGAACATGATGTATGTGACACCGTCGGTGTGTTAACCTTGTAAGGTTCCGCTGTAGTTGATGATCGAGGCCAGTACTGTCTTAGCCAGGTCGACCTCCAAGGCCTCGCTGCAACGCAGCAGCTTGTTGTGGTGGAATCGTAACTTTACTTGCTACGTTGAACCATGTGTGCACCTCACATCCCGAGCCCTGCAACAATAGGACAAATTTCTGGAGCGAGTGCGCAGCTACGGACACTTAGTTGAGCGCGCTCCTGGAAATATTGGTGGGATCTTCAGTGGTCGAGCTGCCGGTACGTTCCAGAGTAACGCTAGCAACGCACCGGCGGCCGCACCGGGCAAAATTTGGGGCGACTAAGTGTCCAACGAATCAAGAACGCTTTTGGGCCAGGAAACTGGCTACGCACAAGCGACGGGACCCACCGACAATTGCTGGGACCAGGGGCGGGCTGCGGCTGCAGCTTGCGATTCGTTACCAACTGCGATTACCCTGTGGGATTTGTCAGGCCAGCGCCTTGACTTTTCGATTCTGGAACCGCCACAGACACCTACTCATCCGCCGGCGCTGCTTACATCGATTGATCAGATTTACCCGCCTGCGACGACCAAGCCGCACAATGCTTCCACCCAGGTTTCATCGTGCTAAACGACACTGGAGGCGACGTATTGTTAGTACTTGCGCTCTAAACGAAACAGCCAGACGGACAGTGCAACGGGCATTCCATCGCAAAGACTCGGGACGCGGCAGAGGTGGCCAGCGTTCTCCCAGGCTACATGGACAGGACATGGCCACATTCCCAGCTAAACTAACTGAGCACGACTTTGAGGAACTATTTGTCTGCGAGACATACAACAGGGGAAAGGCAAGGGACGCAAGCTAAATCCCCTGGATATAAATGGCCCGACAATTGCATGGGATACCTGCGGCAATGACAGACACGTCCAGGCACAGCGCACGAAAGGAAAAGGGAAGGCAGACGGCCCCGCACCGCACCTATTGGCTCAGAGTATTATGACGATGACAATATGGAGTACGTCGGCTTCCCACATGTCGACTATCCTTCTCACGCCTCTCGCACAACCTGGTTCTCGATGGTCAGGTTCGCCGACGCAGCGGTGGCCGTCGAGAGGTGCGCGGGCTACTTGCGCGTCTACGAGAACTCCGAGAAGCCATGCGGGGACTGACTTGGACTCCCCGTGCACGGCCACGTGCGCGATGACTCCGACAGTGACATCGCGTGCGACATCGAGCACGAGTCCGACATCGCGTCCGAGGCGCACGCTGTCCCTCCTACCGAGGAAGAGCTGGCACTATTCCAGATCGGACGCGAGCGCGCTGGGCGCGCCCTTCAGCCGTCGCCAGCCATGGTCTTGCCGCCGACGAACCGGCGGCGGTTGGGCGGGGTCTGATTACCGGGACTGCCTCCTATTGGGGCGGGCCCGGCCACGGGCGGCAGCGACAACGGTCGGGGCCCCAGCTTCGGCGATGGACGCGCGGCCGGCGAGGGCACGGGCGACGCGCGCGACGGCAAGGGCTACACCTCGTTCTCCCGTGACGAACGCGGCCCGCCCGTGGAGGTGTCAGAGGGCGACATGCGCCGGCATTCCTTGGGCCATGTTATCAGGGGGCCCGCCGCGGGCAACGCGCAGAAGACATCCTTTCGTCGATCTGATCGAAGGGTAGATGCAAGCGTCGCCGATCGCGACGCGCGTCGCGCGCGCAGTCGCCAAAAGTACCACAGGCGTCGCCACGCGCGGCCAATCGATCGCCCATCGCGGAGCCCACGCCCCCTTCCCACCCCGCGCCGGCCCGACTTCGGAGACGGTTTCGGCGGCGAGGCGGACGCCCGGGACCAGCGCGTAGTCCCGTCCGACGCGCAGGTCAAGGATATCGGACGCGATCGGGCATAATTTCCCGCGGATCATTTCCTGAAATTTCAGCGAGGCGATGATGCTATGCCCGGCGATGCCGAATATCGAAAGGGGCTCTTCTGAGAGCACCCATCGGGGGCAGCCCTCAACGCGGCGGGCCAGGTCGCGGGCAGCTCTAGCGCTGCCCCGCTACAAGATGGCCCACCCGAGCGCCCCCCGCTAGAAGACGACCCACCCGGGAGATGCTGAACCCCGAGCAGCAACGAGATTTGGCGGAGTCGTCGTTACCATCCTCACCACAATGCACGGGCGCGGATAGGCTCGGCAAGAAATAGGCGGCCGCGCGCGAGAGGCCCGACCATTCTCGACAGCGCGTCAAGGGCACCCGCGCCGAGGAAGTCATTGTCGAAGAGGGCGAGCCGATCGTGGAACGACCGCCTCGACGTGGAAGATCCACGGGGGCCGGCGTCGCAAGCAAGGCCGCCGCTGTCCGATCTGGAATATCGCAGCCAGCGCAGATGCACCGCGGTTGCGACATTATCTCGCGACTTTAGCGCGCCTTCATGGAGAATCACCGGGGCAAGGCTGAAACAAACTATGACCAAGTAGCGGGGAAGACCAGGGGCGCTGACTCAGATGCTGCCCTCGCGGTAGTCGGCGCCATTCACGCGCGCCGAAGGCGCCGTCCAAGGCAGAGGACCAGGGCCATTCAACGAGAAAGTGTTGGGCGCGCTGACGAGCACGAAGGACGATGCTAATCTCCGGCGCCAAACGCATTGCTGGCGCGGACACGCGCGACCTGAACCGCCGCGGCGGCGCAAGCTCCATGGACACTTGGGACGCAGGCAACGCCCGAAGTGAAGCTACAGGCAAAGCCCACGGGGGCACCCCCGGCACGGGCGGCCGCGCCGCCTCTATCTCCCCGGCTCGACGAGGGCGACGAGGACCAACACTTACAGTTGACCGGTGACGCACCGGGAAACGTTCGCTGTAGGATATTCGATGAGTCGCACAATCAACGCTCGCAGAACTATCTGCGCAAGCAGCAACCGCTGCACGTCGACGACGAGTCCGGCGGGATGACCCGGGCAATCTACAGAGCCGGCGTCAAGCACGACCTAGAGCCGACCCAATCCGCGAAGACCTTGCCCTCGGAGTGGTAGCCAACTACGCTTCGGCGTCGGCCTTGCCAATGTGACGCCATCAGCGCCAAGTTCGCCAAAGCCTGCCCGACCTGGGACCACTATAACGGCTGGATCCTTGCAAGTGATGCGTTGGAGCTCGTACTTGGGGCAAAAGCCGAGAATTCGCACAGCATTGTATACGCAGTCCGCATGCGTCGCGCGCGACCTGGCCGCCCCTGATAACGCAATGGAAATGCGCGACACACGCTCGCGAGCGCCGAAAGGTCGTCTTCAGTTCAATTACGTCCAAGCAGGGCACGGGCGGACGCGCCTCGCGCATTCGAGCCACCAGTGGGCACTCGAGACCAGGTACACTGAGTCCTATGTCGGCGGATGTCTTACCTTCCGGGCGACGCACGCATCAAGTCGAGACTTCGCGGTGACTTTGAAGTTCTGACATTTATGTCCATGCTTCTTCCTTCTACATGATGGTGCGCGTATCTGGCGGTCGGGCAATGATTCTGTCTTGACTGAGGGCCATGGGGGTACAATGACTTACCATCGCCGCACTTCATCCGGTTCGTGGGAATCAGAACAACAGCAAGGCAAGGAACGGCGCAACGCAGCATTTTCGGCCCACGCACGCCGGCACCGACACCGATCACCGAGTTGGGACATGCATGCGCAGTGGCTGGATCCAACCACGAGAGCAATGCGGCCTCGGCGAAACCACGCATG